ATGGCTGCGCTTTGGAATCTTAAGTCAGTCTTACTCTGTTGAGCTATTCTCTGACTAAGTGTTGGAAGGGTAACTTACGGAGCAACAATTCAGTCGATCTCTGGTAGAACTTAATCTCCTGAAGCGCCTTAATACCCGGGTGGGTATGACGGGCAACCGGTTTCTTCTGTGAAACACCGGCAACTGCTTTCTTGGACGAGACAGCAGCCTTCTTTGACGCTGCTTTGGGCGCATAGTACTTTCGTGGTGCCTTGGATGATGATGGTCTCTCTGCATTAATACCTTTTGTTCTTGCCATGTGTTGAAAACACAATTTGATTTTGCAGTTGGGTAGTTTAAGTTCTAATACCACTTTTCCATATTATTTCTCTTTTTGAAAGAAACCCTAAAGGGTTGGGATTGAAAAAGATTAAAAGTCGAATAAAGAAAAAAAAATTATTTTTTTATTGACAAAGTCTAAACTTAAAATAATAATTAATTAAAATTAAGATAGATTTGGATATTGTTTTAGTAAATTATATTGAAAGCCATAACAAAACATTTGAAATGCTAAAAAGAGAAAAAATGATTGTTTTTATAAAGCTATTCAATTTAAATTAATTATATAGTTATTTGTTAAATTTAACAATTAATTATAAATTATTAATATATTTTAATGATAAATAATAAAATAATTTAAAATTCTATTAAGTTATAATAATTTTATAATATAATAGTTGTTGTATGATTATTAATAAGTTTTAGCATAATAAAACTATATTAAATAGTATCGAATATAATTCAATTTAAATTATAATTATTATAATTAATTTTAATAACATTTATTATTAATATAGTTAATTTATATAAAAAACAAGAAACTATACATTATAATTATATATATTATATATTAATTAAATATAATAAAAACTCAAAAACTATTTAATAATAATTTTTTTATTATTAAAAATATTTAAATTTTTATAATTAATAAATAATAAAATTTTTAACCCAAAACACAAAAAAAGTCCACAAACAATTTGATGTTTTGAATTTTTTTGGATTTTTTTTTTAAACATTTTAAAAACCATTTTTGAAATTGGTTTTAACATATTTTTACTATAATTTTTCATTAAAAAAACACCAACAACACAATTAATGAAAAAACTATATTACATAACTATTATTCGTAGTACCTCGACTTTCTTCCTTTTGATTGATGAATCCAATATTGAAGAGTAGAGGTAGATAACCCAGTAAAATCGTCTGGTCTAGTGTCTTGTAAAAAAGCAATAGTTTTTGCAACACCAATAGATCTCGACAATTTCACGGCAAGGACCTTTTGTTCCATTAACCACTTTCTTTTCTTCTGGTCTTTCTTTGTACATCTGTGGACTGGACTGCGGGGAGCCTTTTCACTTCTTTCTTCCGAGGTCATCTTCACGTCGGTGACGTCCTCATAACCCACAAAGAACCTGAAGTTCTCCAAGTTTTCGACTGCTCTGAATGCCGATTGCATTGCACTATTCTTTGTAATTAGATTCTCAGTTGCATTTTATATATTGCCCTAAACCCGCATTTTCGTTTTTAAAAATAGGTGTTGCTTTTGAAATGTTCATGTTATAACATATTCGAGCGGTTTGGCCATATTTGGATCATTCTTTGCTGTGATAGTTGTAAAATAGTTCTTTTGTTGTTATTTTACTATTCTGTTTTAGTTTCTATTTGCAAGCAAACATTGACGGTCTCAAGTTCAGTTTTTAAGGCGCGCGTTGAACCTCTTCGAATTTTCGAATACGTACGTTTCCTTCTTGAAAAATCTCACACAAAAGATATCAACTCTTATAATTTGAACGCAATAAACCCAATATATGAGGCACAAAACTAGTTAATCAAAAGACGAAACTATTTATGTGAAAAAAATACGTTCAAATCGCTACAAAAAAATTGCTTTTTATAAGTATTGTTGTATTGTTTTTTTATAATATTTTTTTACTATAATAATGGTTCCGCCGTGTTTTTTTTCTAAGTTTGGAGCTGTTGTTTGGTTTTGATTATTTTATTTTTCCAATGATTTTTTTTAAAGTAAAGCACTCTACTTTTCTATTTTTACGCAATGAAATTAGGTCGTCATTTTACGTGTAATAACCGCATTGTTACGGGAATATCTGCATACCTTTTAGCGAATACTTCCATTAGTCGACAAAACCAACAGTTTTGTTAGTGAACTATTGTTAAACTATAACACAACCATAAAAAACATAAACGAACAAATTAAAAACTTGGACATTTTCAAGTTTTTTAAATATTTCATCGCAAAAAGGTTTTTCATTTCATTTTTTCGTTGTTTTGCTTATCAAAATGTCGCACAATAAAAACCCTTGTACATTTCATTGGCTAATTTGACCTATCAAAATTAAAGGACGTTTCATCCGAGAGTACCGTTTGAATTTTCAACCATTTTGCCCGAAATTATTCACAACAAATACGTGTTATTTGGATACTTTAATCCAAAATATATTAGAACTTTTTCGATCATATATTTTTCAAGTCATTTGTCTGGCTTATTTATCATTTCTGATAGTTTACAAACTTATTGTAGAATTCCTAATAAATAATAATTTCTGTCTTGTAAGAACTAAAAATATAACTATTATCAGATGTATTTACTGATGTTTTAAGAAGTTTAATAATTCTTAATACTTTTTGTTTGAAAGTATTAAATCAAAACTAATACAAAATACTTATTAAATACAATCTAATAATGTAAAGTAACAGTTTTATTATCTATAAAAATGTTATAATTCATTTATTATTATTATTACTATTTAATATAGTTTCAAATTAGTTTATTATTAAGTTATTAACATATATAATAAAAATATCAAAAATATATAGTTTTAATAATATCAAAATTATTATTATTTAAAATATTTATAATTTTCGATTCCAACAACACACTCAAATATAATTAAAGCCCGTCTATATACTTCATCCACTTCTCTCTATTCTTCTCCGTTGCAGCCAATAAATGCAGTTTAACATCGTTTTGTATAATGAGGAAAACGTTCTTCAGTTTGTCATCAATAACAACAAGAGACGTGACGGGTGGTGTCAAACCCATTCGAAACTCCTCAATCAGTGTCATCTCGCTAATATCGTCGATACTCCACTCCTGTTCTCCAGTGAACTTTCTAGTGATATACCCATCGTCCACCTTCAATCCTTTAAACATCTTCACCTTTGCAATCAGCAATAAATTGTTCATCAACACACACATGCGTGGTATACTCTTCTCAGCCCCAAACACGTCTCCTATTGGAATTAAGAGTCCAAAATACACCAATTTCCTTCTTTTGATGGCAAGAGGGCCCGTCGACTTCCGAAGACTTTTCTCGACAGTCATGACGTTATTTGAGCTTTTTGTGCTTCTCAGTAAATTTGTTGCTGACGTGAAAATCCGCTCGAGGAATTCCTCGCACTCAGTAACTACAGTAAAGTCCTTTTGTGACGTTTTCAAGCATTTTTTCGTCGTTTTACAGAAGTGCAGATACTCCTCCAATCGCGTTATAGGGAGGTGCAAATAACTCTGTGGATTATCGATCACTGGCGGGACAAAATTCTCCTTCTGGATTTCTCTTTGTGTGTTGACGTACACGGAGATGTTTAAAACGACTTGTTTATTGATTTCAAGGTCTTCTTCGACTTGTGGGAAACTCTTCGAGAACAGTTGATACCCTCCAAAGTACAGTGTATATATTTCAAAGTCTTGTATTAAAGGTTTTAAGATGTCTCCAATAGTCACTACATTATTCTCTAATACAAGCTTCTCGACACTTCTTAAAATGTTTCGACTCAACGCCATCATCTTCTCTAACATCCCTCCAATGTTCTTAGCAAAATCTATATATTTATTGACACACTTAATCGCCTTAATATAGATCTCAAAGAATTCTAATAACTGTCTAAAATAGACATATTCATCATTTCGAAATTGATTGATAGTCATATACAGATCTTCCATCATCACTTCTTTGTTTCCACAATTCACTATCTCTTCATTTCCTATCGACTTGGGACGCTGCGAAGAGTACTGAAACTTCTTCTTGACATTCAGACTCTTTCGTAGATTGAGGTTTGGCGATCTTGGAAGATCTAATTTAACGGAGTCATAGATCGCCAACGCCAAGATCCCCCGCGTCTCCTTTTGTTTATTCGAAAGAATATTTAAAAAGACTCCAACGAACTCGTCGATCTCTTCATCAGTCAATTCCCTCTTTAATTTGGTCTTTGTTAAGACGTCTTCAGTATTAATCGCTTCACTCAGGCGCACACACTGTTGTTTCGAGTCTTCCAATTCGTCTCGGAGTTGTGTGATTTCGACCATCTGTGCAAAATTTTGATTCATCAATTCGCGCACTTTCAAGCCGACTTCCGAGTCTCGTCGTTCTTTTCTTTCAACCGTCGACTCCCCCCTTTCATTCAATAGTTCTCCCTCTTTTTTTGACTCGAATAATTCACTCCGCTGTAATATCTCATTCTTCTCCTTCTCATCTAAACTCTGTGGACTCCGCATCTTCCCAATTTTGAAGTTCTTCTTCTCTCCTTCTTTCTGTGCCATCACGCGTGTGAGTCGTGGCGTCAAATTTGGTGTCGTTCTGTTACTGTTATGAGCCGACGCAGTGAGTGTCGCGTAATTTGATAAGTCCATCGACAGTCCTCGAGATAACGAGCCCGGTCGTGCTATAATTTTTTGGACCTCATCAATTTGGATTTTAAGGATCTTCCCGTCTTCTTCTACTTGTTTTTCTTTCGTTTGGATGTCCGTTTCTTTTGTTTTGATGTCTTTCATTTTACTCGTTAAACTCTTTTCAGTGGTATCAAGTTCCTTTTTTAACGCTTTCAGCTTGTCCTCCGCATCTTTGACTTGTTGCGTCACACGAGTGAGTTCTTCACTTTTCTCTTCAAAGTGAACTTCACACATTAACACAGCAGACTCCCGTTCACGAACAACATCTTCACGCTTTTTTATTTCTATCTCAAGACTTTGGAGCTCTTGCTGAAGCTCTTTTAATTGTTCTTTTCGGTCATTAACTTCGGAAATTGGCATCGTGTCGATTTCTTCGGGTGTTAACGAAACGACTTGTTTTTGTTGTGAAACTTCTTCATGTTCGAAAAAATGTGTCAGTGCTTTGTTGTCGTTTTGTTCGTCTTCTGTGAGTGTAGTGGTTGTGTCTTTGGTCTCCCACATTTTCTTCACTATTTGTAAAGAAGAGATGAATTCGTCGACATTAAAACGTTTGGTCTCTTGGAAGATTTCTTTCCAAATCCATATTTGTAATTCTCGAGGCTATTTGTTACACGTTACTCGCCATTTCGTATTTCAAAAGATCTGAACTATTATATGAAAAACATTAATCATTGAATTATTTAATTTATTAGTACGACAAACAGTGCGAAAAGGTCGCTGTGGTATAAATTTAATCGTCTTCAAATACTCCGCCTCGACTTTGTTCCAATAATCAAACGCTTGTTTTGTGTTCAAAACATCCTCCGCCATCCTCTTCTTTTCCAGTTTTCTTATTTCTTTACAAGTTGACTCGAATAGAAATAATCTTACACCTATTTGTATTTACTGCCACTTGACTTGTTCTGTAACGCTCTTTATATTTTTACCCCCTTATTTGAAAAAATTAAATTCCCATATTTTTAGTAATAAACAATACTAGAAATATCATTTCTTTTGTAATTGCTTTTTTTGTTATTGGATCTTTTTTCTAATAAAAATACGAAGGATCCAAAATTAAAAACCCCATTTTTAATATAAAATAATCTATTTTTTAGAATTTGTTTATAAAAGTCGTGTAAATTAAAAATATTATAAATTTACTATTTAGTATAGTTTTGTTTTAATAATAGGATCAATTGGTATTAAAGAATCTCACCAACTTACAATCAAAAACAAAATCTGTTGCAATAGAAGATCATTCCGCCACGCTTTACACCACTTGAATTTTCTGCTCTTTTTTTATACAGTGGAGTATCAAAGAATTGATAAATTCTTTAAAACCAAAAAAAATTGTACGTATTATTATTAGTAATAGTTTACTAAACTATACTATACAATTCCAAGTTTTTTTCTCTTTTCACCCATCTTCTTTTCTTACATCCTTTTCTTTGTTCGAATGTCGAGTGCCACACCGAAAAGGAGCATCATCGATTTTTTACAACAGACCGTTTCCTCGGAGTCCCCTGACTTTGTGAACCAAATTCAACAACTTCGTCAATTAGTATTAACCCAAGCCATGCCGAAGTATGACGAGTATGAACCCCTTACAATTCGTGGACAAGTGTGGAAATTACTTTCTGGCATCTACACATTGGACGATACTGAGTACATCAACTGTAAAGATAAACCATACCCAAGACTCGAAAAGATCGGAAAAGACTTTTTGAGGACGTTTGGTGACAAAGAACCGATAATCTACCAGATGCGTGGGTGTGTTGACAACTTAGTTCGATTACTCCGAGTTACGTGTTTGATCACGTCACTTCAGAATGTTAATTACATGCAGGGAATGAATGTCTTGGCGGGAATGTTTCTTATTGTGATGCCGGAATTGGACAGTTTCTTCATGTTGAAAAAAATGATTCTTGAAATGATCCCCACATATTTCGGGAATGAATGTATCGACGGAACAACATACGGATGTCAATTGGTATATAATTGTATTAAGTCGTTCGACCAAAGACTGTATCGATCACTGAGTTACAAGAAATTCGATCCATGCTGTTTGAACCAACGCATTACGTCTCTCTCGACATGTAGCGGGCCAATAGAGGAAGTCCAAATCCTCTGGGATTATTATCTTGCTTGTGGTTGTTACAACGTCGTGTACATCACTGCAGCACAAATCTTGATGAAGAGAAATCTGCTGCTCAAGTCAAGTTGTCCCAAAGTCGTCATGTCTCAACTTGAAGAGGTGAAAGCTAAGAAACTCATTTTCATTGCAGAGATGGTTAAGTTGCAAATCCCATCGAAACTATTCGACCAAATCCAAATCCACACAACTTCGTTTAAAGGAAATCCATTTTATAAAAAAAAATGATTGTTATGTATATTTGATATTTGGTCCGAAAGTGACTCGATAAAATCGATCAAATAAGAAATAATCAATACAAACGATTCATACAACCGTCTATTAATAACGAAGTCTGAGAGCGAGGAGTAGGTCGCGATTGGTCACAGTAACTCGTTTTGAGTGTGCCGCGATTTGTTGGGAATCTTGAAAAAGCGAGACAAGATAACTTTCAGAAGCAGATTGAAGTAGTTCACACGCCCTTTTCTCAATTCGAAGAACATTTGGTTTTGTCTCTCGAGTCAAGTCGCGTGCAACTTTTTTGAAAGTGGCCTTAGGGATAAGGTTATTTGTAGTTCTCTGAAGTTGCCTCATTTCGGCTTCTATTCTTTGGAAAGGTTGTCTTGGGGGTGTACATCCGCTTTGTCGCCAAAACTCTTCCTTGACGCATTTCGGCATCATATGGACATTATTCATGGCATGTATCCCGTATTTTCTCTCTTTTTATCTTCATTCATTCCACTTTCTTCAATCTCATCTTTTTATTAAAAAAATTAAAAAATTCATTTCTAATGTATAACAAATTACATATCTATAATTAGTTTTATCATGTTAAAGTAATATGATAATAAAGTTCAAGTATAATAAAATTATAGTTATAATAATTATAAAAATGTATAATTTAATAAAAAATAATTATTATATGGAAAAATAGAAAAATCAATTACAGTTAGTTCCATAAAAATTTACTAATGTCTCAAATTAATAATAAAATATACCAAAATAAATATAAATTGCACTTATTTTCAACTTTGTTTTACAATAATATTAAATTGTATCATAATTAATGAAAATGTCTCAAATATTTAGTAAATTGTATTCCTTTTTGATTTAAAAAATGAATAAAATATTCTACACATCTATTAATAGTAAAAATGATGTATTTCAAACACTTATGGGAATTATTATTGTATTGATCATTTTTGATGAAATTTGTTTTTCAAAATTGTTATAAAAATAATTTAAAAATAAAACCCTATAAAAAGATAATAAACATATAATATATTGAAATATAAACTTTAGAATTATTCAAAATTTTATTAACTTAAAAATCAAATGAAAAAATTTGATTGGGCATTCCCATTAACAATGGAATGTAGAAAAGGCTTATCAATGGATCTCCAATTAAACTTTTCTTTTGGAGCTCAAGCCACACCATTTAACATTTGTAAAGTTCCTCCAAAACCAACTTTCTTTGAAACGGAACTAGAAATCACAAATGAAACTAAATATTTCGAAAATCCAAATGAAAAAGATCCCACATTTATCAGAAATGCATTTTTAGCATCAAAACATATTGATCAACACTTTGAAATGTACAATGCCAGGATGAAAGAAATATCTAAACAATACTACGAAGAAGATGATATTCATGAAGTATTGTTTCCTAGACAAATTGTTCCATCTTCTCAATTGAATCTCAAAAGAAAAAAATATTACAATGAAAGAAAAAACGACTTGTATACACAAATATATATTTATTATTCTGATTGTAATAATTATAATAGAACTGCCAAACAATTCAAATTGCCTCCTTCAACCATCCACAATATCATTGAAAGGGTTAAAAATGGAGTGTCTCTGACTGGTAACAAAAGAGGGAGGAAATCGGGGCACAATTACAAATTTGATTATAATACAATAACAATGATACTCGAAGAAATAAGCGCGAACAAACTCACAACCTTAAAATTGATAACAAAACATGTAAACGAAAAAAGAGATGAATGGATGGAAGCTATAGCTCGGTACGAATCTTATTTAATGAGAGATGAACATGAAATCAAAAAGATGTTGAAACAGAAAAAAGTCAGTTTAAGTGGTGTACACAGAATATTAAAGAGACTAGGAGTGACACTGAAACTAGTCAAAAAAGAACAATTTAATCGAAACATCAAAGTTCGGATTGAACAAAGAAAAATATATGCTGATCATATCGAATATTTGAATTATTTCCAATTCGTTTATGCATATATAGACGAAGTTGGAGTCAACTCTAACCACACGAGAAGACAGGGTTATTCGTTTATAGGTCAATGTTGTAGTGTTGAATCCAAAAACATAAAAGAGCCAAATTTAACCACGTTTGCCATGATGGTCATGGGTAAAAATTTGGTGTTTCGTATTAGTAGTAAAAGCTCCAATGTCATTTTCATCAACAGCGTCAAAGAAGTTTTTATTCCACAATTAATAAAGTGGTATGGTCCAGTTTTTATACACTTTGTAATTGATAACGCATCAATCCACAAGAAGGATATGATATCGGTGTGTCAAGAGTACGGAATATATGTAACTTATTTAGTACCATATTCACCTCAATTAAACGCTATCGAAAAATGCTTTTCAGCAATGAAGTCTTATTTGGCTGAGATTCTAAGTGATAACGAGTCGTTCAAAAAAGCATTGAACTTTATGAAATGTTACGAATATCATGATTTGATACTCAAGGATGTACGAATGACTAACATAAATATAAAAATGTTTTCGTCTCTTGTTACAGCTTCATTGCTTTGGGTGAGTTCTCAAAGTACATACAATTTCCATATTAAAACGTTTGAATGGGTGAAAAGAGCAAAAGAAGGGATTCGCTTTGAGAACGACGACAACTTAAACAATAAAATTGTTCGAATTGAAGTACCGATCCCTGACGAAGAATTTGTGTTTAGTTATAATGATAATAACTCACAAAGTACTGTAAATTTTATATCCAGAAATGATGTACTGCATGTTTTGACGTATGACCCATTTACGATTAAAAATGAAAAGTCCTTTACAAATTGTGAACGCTTTTTTCAAGAAAAACGTCAAGAAGGAGAATTGTATCGTTATAATGAAGGAAAAAATAACTACCAATTTGAACACAAAATCATTCCTGATATTTCTGACACTTTTGCAATTCAGGAAAATAATATAATGGAAGAATGTGATTATTATAATGAAGAAAAGTTGAAAAGTGAGTGTTCAAAAAGTGAATATATGTTTTCACAAATTTCAACAATAAAATGTTGTGACGATATTGATAAAAATACAAGTCCAAAACTCATATTACCTCGAGAAATTGATGAATCAACAATCGACTTAATTCATCAAAAAATCAATGTGATGATGAATGCAAATGTTGTGTTGGGACTCAAATTCAATTAGAAAATTATTTTAACCCAATTATTGACAATACATATCATTCAAAATCTTGGCAATATTGGGGTTATTATGATCCAAATGATTACAGAAGAGATACCACAACTACAAATGAAGTTAAAGAAAATTGCGAAAAATGTTTAACAAATTCACAAATGGAAATAACAAAACAAATTTGTCATTCTTCATTTCAAAATGGTACTAATATAGAAGAGGGTCAAACAATCGGAATTGGTTGGAATTTTGGGGATAATTTGATGGATTTGAGTGATTTGGATGATGAAGTTATAATTGTTAAAAAAGAAATGGAAGTTATAGACTTGGATGGTTCTTTAAAATATGAAAATATTGAAAATGCAAATTCCGAATTCTTGAATTATAAAACATCAAAAAAACAAATAGAATTTGATTATTCAAGAATAAATTCCTCGTTGATTTTTATGGTTAAACCAATTATAAACTTGCCATATTCTACTGATATATCCGCAATTCAAAATGTCATAACTTCTGAAATGCTTAATACAGAAATACTCGATTTGTATATTTTGTGGATTAAACTGAGAAATGTGTGCTTGTGGAAAAGATCGATTTGTTTAACTGATTGGAATAATTTTACCGATGGTGGAATTAGAAAGAAAAGAGTTAGAGAAGCGATCAAAAATATGGGTATTTGTGATACTTTTTTGCTTCCTGTTTTTTATAATTCACATTTTATGTTGTGTGGAGTATTTTTTGTTGATTCCTCAACACCCATCATAGCCGAGTTCAACAGCATTAAGAATTACTCAAGTGGATTTCTTAGAAAAGTTTCCAAATTTCTTAGAGATGAATTCGAAAAAGAGAAAAGAATTAATTTCAATTTAAAATGGGTTGTTGAAATACAAACTCCAATTCAATTTGACTTAATATCATGTGGTTCTTATTCGTCTTATTTTATAGAAGCGATATTCAAAAGCAATCCAAGATGTGTCAACAACATCCACAAGTGCTTTTCTGATTCATCAGCTTTTAATTTTCGGACTGAAATTTTATCTTTGACATCAGTCGACAACATACAAAGAATTCTTAATCTTATTTCTTATTGTTGAATTAATTGTGTAATTTTATTTTTTTCTTCCCAAAAATGCATACTTAATAAAATTGTCCTATTAATATAAATATCAAGAAGTAGTATTCAATTTTTAAATCAAAAAGGAATATCATAAATAAATAAAATGTCTCAAAATAATATTTTGTTTCAAATTATTGAAAAAATGTATCAAATAAATGAAAAATATATATCATAATTGTTATAACTTGTCTCATAATTTTGATAATAATTAAAAAAACATTTAAAAATAATAATTAAAAGTCTTCACGAGCAAATATTTTTAGAGTAACTACAGAGTAAAAATGTTGAATTGTTTTTTTAATTTCATGTGGTGGAATTTCATTAAAACACAAACTTATGTTTTCAAACATATCTTTCAAATCAACACTTCCCAATTTCCCGACTTTAGTTTTCCAAATACCGAAAACATTTCTATTGGATTACACTCCGGAGAATAAGGAGCGTTATATAATACTTCACACCCCTTTACATTTGCAATTTCCACAATTTCATCTCTGTGTATAGCTGCGTTATCCAAAACAAATACAATCCAACTTCCATCTGAAGTAAATGTTTCAAGTAAATTCCGAAAATATACTTTAAATATGTCTCCGTTAACTACCGTGTTGAATAAATTGCAATATTTATTTCCAGAATCTGATATGGCGCAAATGCAACTTAAGTTATACGTTATCAATGGCGTTTCAACGATATGTTTTCTTCCTCGTTGTCCCCATGCACTCGTTTTCACATTTCCAACACTCCAGTGACTTTCATCAACAAATACAACTGAATACCCCGAGATAATAAATTAATCTAGTTTTCTCCTCTTTTCGATTCTCAACTCTTTATTTTCTGGTGTATTTGCCCTGGGTCCTCTTTTGGTTATTTCAATAAATGATAGTTGTGGTAATAAACACGTTTCCATTATTTGTTTGCTGTGAATATATCGATGTATTGTTGAAATTGAAATTGACTGCATATTTTTCTCGGCGATATCTCTCTTACAATCACGTAGACTTTTCTTTCAATAGAAAGTTGTTTTGATATTTCAGTTAATAGCTCAGGACTATATTTGGGTTTTCTTCCTCTTTTCGATGGCTTTGATATGTTCCTGCCACTACAGAATTCTTTTAAAAGTCTTCTACAAGACTGAGTCTGGATTCTTGTCTTTTGTTGATAAAAGTCAACAGATTTTGTCGTTCCAAACTCTGCATAAAGTTCAATCATTTTTTTGTCTCTGTGATTCGGTAATATTAACATATATTCTTTTTTTTCTTGGACGACTGTTGTTCGTGATGCTCTTCTTGAGTCATGATGGCTCTTGTAGCCATAATTTCCTCTTCTTGTCTCATTGGTATGAGATCTTTTTCAATTGGTATATTTTCTTGAAGAGGGGGTCTGTCGAGATAATGATTAACATTAACTTGATGAATGAATTCAAAATGGTCGATTGACATACAATCTTTAATTAAAAATTCAGTTTAAATACACAAAAATTTGGTAATTAACAATAATGTTAGAAATAATTATCAAAATTACGAGACAATTTATAACAATTATGATATATATTTTTCATTTATTTGATACATTTTTTCAATAATTTGAAACAAAATATTATTTTGAGACATTTTATTTATTTATGATACAATTTACTAAATATTTGAGACATTTTCATTAATTATGATACAATTTAATATTATTGTAAAACAAAGTTGAAAATAAGTGCAATTTATATTTATTTTGGTATATTTTATTATTAATTTGAGACATTAGTAAATTTTTATGGAACTAAAGACCAACAGAAAATTGTCGTACACTTGTGATTTTAGTATCAAACAAACCAAAAAATCGGGAATATTTTTTCATGTATAAAATTTGACTAAACAATCAGGAAAAAAATTGGGTTTTGAAAAAATAAAAACCCGACTTTATACAGAAAAAAACCTTAAAACAATGTGTACGACTATTTTCTGATGCTCTTTAACTGTAAATTAAAAATTGATTTTTAAAAACAATCAATTTTTGATAATCAATTTAATAAAAAAAAATTATTATTAGTTATAAATTATATTATTATATTATTTTTTCAAATAAAAAAATTATAATAATAGAACGGAAACTAAAAACTCACAAAATGGCACTGCTTGCCCTTTTTTTTATCATTTTTTTCAATGTAATGAGCAAGCAGTCGTACTGTAACTCTCCCAAACTTCATCCTAAAATTGTCAAAACAAAACAGCTCAAAAAAATATTCATAATCACAAGACATGGATCGAGAAGTCCGATGATAGAGAACAATCTCAAGTTAACTTGTAACAAAACGCAAAACTGTAAAATAAATGAATTGACAGATTATGGAAAAGCTCAAATGATGAAACTTGGCTCTGAACTTAAAGAATATCTTAGTTCCAATCACTTTGACTTAAACGAAAGTAAAAGTGTTTTTAAAAGTACGCGCACCGACAGAACTATAAAATCAGCAGAATCGTTTTTGAAGGGACTTTTTGCAAATAATTTTCAGAATTACACAGAAAACATTTTGAAAAACATTTTGTCGGAAAACACAAACAAATTTTCGCTTCATTTAACGAAAAATGATGTGATTGAAGAAAAGCAAAGAGAGCGTTTTAGATTTATAGAATCGACAATGGCACCTTTTATTAGTAATTTAGCAGAGAAATTTGCAAAAGTGTACAAAGAAAATTTCAGTACCGACGAAACAGACAAAAACGAAAAGAAGACAAAAACAGAACTGTTAATAGACATGTTCGACCTGTTACAAATCGCAGAATGCAACAACTTGGAATTCCTTAAAAGCAAAAACGAAAGTTTTTCAAATAATGATTTTGAGATTTTATGGACGTTTATGGATTATGTGGCTTCACAGATTGTTGATCCAGAAATTGCTGATTTGGCCACAAAACCGTTGAGAAACGAAATCTCTCATTTTTTAAATCCTGAGATTGAAATCAAAAAAAGTGAAGAAGAATGTGTTGGCGGAATGTGCAACAATTTAAGGAGCAAAAATTTTGAATTTGTATCTGGACATGATGATACTCTCTACCCATTAATGGTCTTTTTTAAACAGAACTTCATTGAGCTACCATCTTTAGCATCGTATTTAATGCTTGAGATGTTTGATGAAAACGGAAGTCAAAGTGTGAGAGTGTCATATAACTCGCGTGAGTTAAAAATATGTCAACCACTCAAAACATTTTGTCCTCTCAACGAATTTTTAGAATGGATAAAGTAATCAATTGTTGTATTCTTTTTATTAATCAATAGTATATATATTGATTCAATAGTAATAATAAGTTTTATTAATAATAAATGATTTGTTTTAAATTACACAATAGTTTTTTTTAATAGTAAAATACCAATACTTATTAAATTAGTTATAAAGTAAATATATTTATAATTTATTATAATATACAATATATATATTAATAATAAAATTTATAATAAATTAGTAATTTATTAAAATGGAATCAATCACACACTCAATCAAGTTTCTCTCTGTTTTCACTCGCCAAATTCGAATTTTCTTCTTTTTTACTCGCATCTATTTCTTTAGTAAAAAATAGTTTAATAAGAAGAAGCGCCAACACGGCGATGACATCAATGAAGAAGTAAGTACTAACAAAGAATTTCCAAGAGTCTTCGAACGTGTAGATCATGAACGGTACAAACGAATAAGTGATTGCGACTCTCGTATATAGAAAAGTGATCACCAAATACATCTTATAGAGGATTGATGTCTCTCCGTATTTCTTTATAATAAAAGGCTCCACTTGATATGAAAATTTGGCAGATACCGTATTATGAAGGGCTAACATCCCAAATGCCAAATAATATCCGGGATAGACTCCATGCCATAAAGCGCTTGTTAAATTCGTCAACGTTTGTTTGTACCTATCAGTTAAGCCGGACAGTGCTTTAAAAGCTTCGTACACATCTACCTGTCAATTCTATTAATATAATATAATTATATTATAATTATATTATAATTAATATATTATTATAATATTATATTATTATAATTATATTATTATAATTAATCACAAACGATTTTTAAAGAAGGACTGGACATAACAATTCCACCCCCCAATCACCTCTTTGCACGACCGAGACAAACAAAATGTTTTCAACTTGACATTTTCGTAATTCTCCCAAGTTGCAACACCGTTTTGATATCCAGAAAACCCAAATCCCATCACCACTCCCGACAACTCCGCCAGTTTCCACGACGCAAAATATCGAAAGACGGTGGAGTACATAAAGATCTGCGTAACGACCATCCGCCCGAGAAACCCGACGTGTTGTTTTTTGTCAATGACTATTTCGTAAAACTTTTGTTTCAATGGTAAGATCAACGCAATAATAGTCAGACCTGCTAACACGATGATTTGACACGTCACAATGAATGCGGCAGACCAATCGATTGGAAGTAACTTTGGACTTTGTGTGTCTTTGTATTGATTGTTGGTGATCTCTATAGAAGACTCTTTCGAGTCATTATCAGAACACTTGAAGAGATCTAAAGAGACGAATTTGGAATAAGTCTTGTACTCGAGACATGGCCCACTGAAACAAGCAGGGAAGAAGTAGAAATATCCGAAGAATTGTAAGAGCGTTGGGAATTCCTTTGGTGTAATGTTGTTGTTAGTGTTATAGACACTCTTCGTGGTGATGGAGGGGTTATGCCCCTTCGCAACATTAAAAGCAAAACTCGAGAGTTTGATGACGACGATCATTTGTAGCGTTGCAATATCCAATTTCCACTGGAGATATGACGTGTAATATTTGTATATCTGGAGCGTCGTTAAAAAGGCCATGTTCGAGAGGAAGAGCGCGATCGCGAGTTTAATGGATTGATTTGTTCGCATGACGAAGAATGTGATACACGCCGGGATAAGTGTGATGAGCATCTGTTCTTCGTAGACATAAAATAAGAGGAAAACACCCGTTAACCCATATACAAAGTGTTTCAAGTTCTCATTGGGAGGAAGGAAGCGATAGATGTAACACAACGGAAGTTCGATGAGAAACGCAAGAAGGTAACGCAGTTGGTCGGGCGGTAAGACCGGCATGAACTAATTTATTTAGTTATAAAAACTATTGTTAATGAGGAAGAGGATTATGCCATAACGACTGATTTCTGTTATTTTCTTATCAAAGTCAAGTTCAGGTGATTGTTTTGAGACTGTTTTTCTGCGTTTTTCAAGCTATAAAAGTATTAGTTGATACTATAAAAATAATTATTCATCACCATGAGATCAAAGGTTTTTTGTATTATTAAAGTGTTATAAATTTGTTAATATATTTTAAATTATAATTTAATAGTATTTATTATTATATTTATTCAATTTAAATTGTTATAATAATCTAGTTGATAAAGTAACTATGAAGTGTTTAGTTTGTTTACTATAAAATAACTTAATAATTATTGTTATTATTTTTATTAAAAGAAGTTTAAAAGATATATTATAATTTATAATAAAATTGTAATATATTATATCATTTGTTTTGTTTGAAACAATTATGAAAAGACTGAATTAATTGATGGAGTGAATTCACTCATTCTCTTCTTTCTTTTCAGTGGCAGTAGTTTTTGGTGCAGTTTCTTTTGGTGCAGCAGATCCTTTCTTTCCTCCCTTCTTTGGCATATATATTAATTGGTGAATTGAGTCTTCAGTTGTTTCTTTGTATATCTATTCCATTTTTGTGTCTATTAATAAAGAACCATTCATTATAGATTTTTAAATTATCTCCGTAATCTAGTTGATTTGGTGAGAGGTGGATTGTATTAATATATTTTATTATTGGGTAAATAACATTTGAATAACACTTTGACAAGAACATAAGAATAACAATTGTAAAACAATTAAAAAAATTGAATAAAAAAAGTTTTTCCTTTTCAAAAAAAAATATTTTTTTGATTAAATATTATTAATTAATTAATTAATCGTTCAAATTATTTCAAATATTTTTTTGAAAAGATTAATACAACACTCAAAATTGAACTCTCTGAATATTTTGATACTTAAAACCCAAATACAAAACAATTAGTTACACTTTTTAACCAACATATTCGCCTTATCGACAAGTTGTAATGCAATAGTACAAGGTTCCATAGCAAATGGTTCTCCATCGCATTGAGCGGCTCTTCTTTCTTTCAAGATGATCTCAATTTTCTTTCCTTGTGCTATTTTTATCGGTTTTGTGAGTCCTACGACGGTCAAGTGGAAGTCGACGACTGAAGGAATTCCGACTATTTCAATCAACCCGTCGCTAAAGTCCGAGTCTTTAAATCCCATCATTGCTTCATTCTTTGTCACTTCATCATAGAACACAATTCCTCCCCCATAAATGGGCAAATTAATAAATATCAGTGCTTCAATAGATGGCAGTTTGATTTCTTTCCCATCCACTTGGAGTACAACCACTTGATCAATATTCCCATCTTCATTCTTCATACAAACTCTCGGTAAACTCAGAGCATATTGCACTTTATTCATATTCCTCGAATTAAAAGTATCTGGGTTCGCCTCTCTCCTTTGATGAAAATCAAGTCGGATCCCTGCGTCCAGTCCAATACTATAATAATTATTAAATGAGATATTCCTCTCTTCCCCACTATTAAATCGTATCGAAAGCTTCCATCGGTCAAGTTCTTTATTCAACGCACTCTGGACGTCTTTCACTATCGAATAAAGACTTCCACCATCATACCCCGTACCCCATCCCGTACACCTCGACAAACTATTCCCCGTCCCAAGAGGTATAATAAAACACTTCGGGTGTAATTCGTGGCGTAAGAACTCATCTAAGACCCAAGTAATAGTCCCATCCCCTCCACAAAGGGCTGCTATAAAATTTGACTTATATGACGCTATATACTCAAATGTATGTGCAAAAGAACCCTCGTCGGAAATGTCACAGACTTGTGGCACTGAAAACAGTACTTCCGCCATTTGAAGGATCTTCACACCAAGATGATTCCCAGACTTTTTGTTGACAAAAAAGATGATCGGCGTCTTCTCAAAACTCTCGCCAAGCCAATTGCGCTCACCGGGTGAATTTTCGACTTTTTCAATTTTCGATTGACTTTTTTCGACTTTCTCAATTTTCGACAAAGTCGAAAATTTGGTGGTCAGCGCCACAAAACACTTTTTGTCGTCATCGAATGTGGTGAGATTTGGAGTGACGATAAACTTCCCGAACTTGCCGTGATAACACTTGAGTGGAGCATTTGGGATGCAATTAGAATGCACCACCATCCCACAATAAGCACATCTGAAATCGACTAAACACGTTGCACTGCCAACTGCTTTCTGGCAGACAAAGCAATTTTCTTTTCCGATGAGGCCAGTGTTTCGATTCCCTGGGACAAACCAGTGGAAGTCCTCGTGTGAGTCTAAAGAGATTGGACGACACCCCATTTGTAACTCCGTGGCACAAGTTTTGTGCATGTAGATCTTGCAGATGCGACACTTAATACAGGAAACGGAGGCACCAACTATGACACCCCTACAAACAACACAATGCGTTGCTCGACGACGCACACTCTTTACTAAACAATGAACACAATTGTTTTGTGTTACGTTCTGTGGCATTGGTATGTCCTGGTCTTGCAGTGGAAAACCATCGTCTAGAATTCCATCAGAAGACGAGTGAGAATGCTCACGTGGCGATATTAAAGTGGGAGAGTCTTCGCCACTTCGGGGCGAAATTTGTGGGGGCGTTGCTTGTGGCGTTTGTTCGTCTTTCTTTTCTTTGAGGTGCGGATAACAAAACAAATAACAATTTTGGGAACATTGGGAGTGCACTGAAAGTCCACAAGAGGAACATTTGAGTGAATCAAAAAAGGGTGTAATGGGTTGTCCACAGACTTCGCATATGGAAATCACCTTTGTCGGAACAAACGTGTGTTGATTTATATGTAAGTTACACAGTTCGAAATCTTTTGGCGACAATGAACTTAGCATGCAATGGTTTTTAACAGTTTGTGCCTCTTTTTTTTATTTCCATGTTGCAAAGAGTGGATGAACTGATTGTTTTGTTGTTTTTTTGAATTTGTCTAAAAATGTATAACTCGTAGTGTAATTTGAACAATTTGTTTCGTTTTCTTTTATTCAATTTTTTCTATAATTCGTTTCGAATAAAAACATTTCAATAACATAAAAATATTGCCTCTTTTAAACTCTATTTTTGCACAATTTCTATAATCAAAATATGTTTTTTCGAGCAATGAGGGAACTCAAAAGATAATTTGTTATAGCTCTGTTGTTTTAAAACTAAAGTTTGGGTTTTTTTTGCTCAATATGCTTTTCATTTCTTTTTTTATTAATTAATTATTTTATTGTTTGGGAAATCAAGCAAAATGGTAATTATGGTAAAAACGTTTCAACTAAGAACTCAAAAAATATAAAAGCTTTTTTTGTTCAGTTTAAACTATTCGGTATGGTTATATTATTATTAACAATAACGACCTGTACTTTTAACATTTGTCATTGTTTTGTTTTTTGTTTGATAATTACTTAATTTTAGTTAATAATTACTATACATTAAAATAATTGGTAATGTTGATGTATAGTAATTATTAGATAATAACTTATTTATTTTTTTGAAACTCTTATAACTTTTGTAGTAAAAACAACAGAGACTTCCAATTATTTCGATGAGTTTATATTACTTTTAATTCTATTACGAAGTTGTTTGAACTAATAATTATAACTATTGATATTTTTATTACAAACCATATTTCATATTAAAAATTAAGAAATTATTAACATTTTGATTTGAAAAAAATAACACCAAAAAAGATAAGAAATCTATAAGATTGTACTATTTTTAATGATTGTGAAAAACCATTTTTTAAGTTTTAATTTCAAATAATCGAAAGTTTAAATACCTTGAACAGTGAATAACAATATTAATATTTCAAAATGTTTTTCTTGTATTATAAAGTATAATATATTTAAATTAATAAAAATTGATAAATATAATGGGAAGTATTATTATTAATGAATTAATAAGTAATTAAAAACTTTTTAAAACAATATGACTTTTACTAATGTTTTTTATTAAGTCTACTATTTTATTACTGAAATATACTTTACATCATTCTCAACAGTCCTTTGTGGTAAATATAATACTCAACATCAATCACAAGAACAAACTCAACAATTTTGTTTGTACCAAATAAATAGTACAGAATGTATTTTGTGTTGAAGCAAGCAGAGTCATATCTATAAAACAATTTCTATATTTTAATATATATTTACTATAAATATCACTGTTATATATTTATAGTAAAATAATAGTTATATATATATATAAAATAAAATATTAAAATTGTTTGTTATGATTGAAAATTTAACATAAACTTTCAAATTTATTAACAAAAATATAAAAATTGAAATGACAATCTCAACAATAAAAATGATGAAATGACAAACATCAAGTGGCATGGCGTGGAACGGCGAAGCATTTATGACTCCAAAAATCTTTTTGGACCAAAGCAAAAGGTTTTCCAAAAAGAGGTCATGGCGGGGTAAGAGAAGTCTGATCTTTTTTTGAGGAGCCTTTTGCCATAGTAATCCCAACCTTTTAAGCTCTATGATCTCTGGTTGTGTGAATGACTTCTCGACTTCAAAGCCCCCTTCTTTGCTTACTAAATCGGTGAGCCGCTTTGATGCGCTTGATTTATAATATTGTGCTACGTAACTCAAATAGTCCTCCTTGTATACAAAACCCTTTTCTTCCACCTCACCTGCTACATAGCATTCGACCACTTTAAATTTCAACAAATCCTCCATGTCGATATGTAACCGAGGGATTTGGAAATATAACAGCTGAGATTGCAGAACGATTGGTGGGATATTCAGTGTCCGATCGACATTATAAAATAGTTCACGTATCTCTTCTAAACGTGTAAAAGTTTCTGTGACCAAACAAGATACATCCTCGATGCCTGTTTTCTCTTCGGGTTGAAGAAATGAACTTGTTTCTTGGAAGCTTTTTTCCAAGTTTTGTTTCTTGTTGAAAGGAGGATATAAGGTGTCTTCGTATTCGCTGTAAATGTGACTTCCCACCAAATCTTTCGTTGGTGACTTTCTCTTCATTACGCCACTGAAATCTTTTTTGTTTTTCTCACTTATTTTGTCAAATAATCTATATTTACTATTTGTTAACTATATAATTCTAAACTGTGATTGTAATAAAATAAAAATAGTATTTTATTTATTATATAAAATTACTAATGTAAACTTCAATCTCATAAATCACACATCATGATAACACACCCATTCCTTCAATCTCATTTTCCTCTTGATTTTACTATTATGACCCCTGAACATGTTAAACCGGACATTGAATATGCCATTTCACTAACAAAAAGAAACATAGAGGCCATCCGCCAAGTGAGTATAGAGGCCTCTAATTTTGAGAATGTTGTTCATGCGCTTGAAATGGCCACAATGGAACTTGACGACGCGAACACATTAGTCACGATGATGTGTACGCTCCGTGGCGACGTTGATGGCTATACAAAAGCACAAGAAGAAGTTCTTCCGATGATTACGGAGATCAAATCCGAGATGTTTTCTGATGAGTGTATTTTTAAGTTACTTTCTTATGTTTCCGAACATAAAAATCAAGAGATGGACCATAACCAAAAACGACTTACCGACTTTTTCTATAAAAAGTTTGTGAAAGGAGGTTCCTTGCTGTCGAAAAGTGAAAAGACCGAGTTGATCTCTCTTCAGAAAGATCTCAGCGTGTTGATGCAAAGATTCAACTCCAACGTTCTCAGCGATACGGACGAGAAATATGTCACTTTCACTAACAAAAGTGATTTAATGGGAGTTCCTGAGGATTCAATTGCAAGATTCCATGACGAGGCAATCTCACGAAAAAGTGAGGGGTTTGTCGTAACGCCTAAGGCCCCAGATTGGATCCCCGTGTTGTCATATTGTCAAAACTCAACAACTCGTCAAAAAGTCTATCACATGTGCAACACAATCTGCTCATCTGGAAAATCAGACAATACCACTGTTATTATTGAGATCCTTAAGAAACGCCAGAGACTCTCTGAACTTCTTGGGTATAAAGATTACTCGGATTATGCCACTGATGGCCGTATGGCAAAAACCGGAGACAATGCAGTATCGTTTGTCGATGATCTCAAAAACAAGGTTGCACCTTTTTTCAAGACGGAGATTGAGGAACTTAAAAATATAAAATCAGTTTCAAGTTCTGATTCCAACGAAAACCTCAAACCATGGGATGTGAGTTATTTAATCCAAAAAATAAAGAAAAGTCAATATAATTATGATGACCAATTATATCGGAAATATTTTACATTAAGTTCGGTCTTGGACGGGCTTTTTTTGACGATAAAAAAACTGTATGGGGTGTCGTTGGTATATAACGAAAAAGTGAAGGCGTGGCATGATGACGTCAGATTTTATGATGTTTTTGACGAAAACGAAAAGTTGATTGGCGGAGTCTTTTATGACTTTTTCCCACGAAAAGGGAAACGTGGAGGCGCGTGTCAAGAAATAGTGTGGAGAGATTATGTCAAGAAGAATGGAACAAAACGACTTCCTTTAGTTTTTGTGGTGACCAATATCACGCCAGGAGTCGATGGAAAAGAGGCGAGATTGAACCACGATGAGGTCGAAACTATTTTTCACGAAAGTGGACATATGTTACACGGCATTTTCGCATTCCAACCATATTTCAATCTCACAAACGAGAACGTCGCATTTGATTTTATCGAACTGCCTTCGCAATTTTTCGAGAACTGGACGTTCGAAAAAGAAGTAATCAATGTGATGACGTGGCAGGGAATATCTCAAGAAAATGAGAAGAGTGAGGTCAAAGGAAAAGTGAGTGATGTGATTGAGGAGGGTGGAAAGAAGGAACAGATGAGGCGCGTACCGGATGAGTTATACAATGTGATGTGGAGTGCTAAGAACTTCATGGCTGGATATTACTATATGCGACAATTGTCTTTTGGAAAAATGGATTTGGAGATACACAGAAACTTTTTGAAGAGCGGCATGGAACTTGACGACTTTATTAAAGAGAAGACAAAGGATTTCGGAATAGAGTTTGATGTACCCAACTACTCGATTATTCGACGCTTTGAACATCTTTTCACTGAGGCGTGCTGTTATGCGTGCTCGTATTATTCTTATAAGTATGCTGAAGTTATTGAGGCAGACGCGTTTGAACTTTTTAAAGAAAAGGGAATTTTCGATAAAGAAACGGCCATGAAGTTCAGAAAATACATTTTGGAGCCTGGAAATACAGAAGATGCTGATGTGCTTTATCGCAAATTCAGAGGAAGAGACCCAAATCCAGATGCTTTACTTAGAAGAGATGGGCTTTTGAAGTAATTTACATTTAATTTTTATTATTATTCCATTATGAAATTGCAAAATAATTGATTCATGTTTTTGAGTATACTAAGAGGTAATTTTTAAATATAATTATAATCTTAAAACAATTTTAAAAACATTAAAATAATTCACCTGTTTTAATGAATAAATTTGGGGAAATAAATTGTTATTGTTAGTTAAAAATAGTTAAAAGCAATTAACTTGTTTTTTTAATTATTTTAATATTTATTTTTATTCACACATTCATAACAACACTTTTTTTTTCTTGCGATTGAAACTAATATTATTGTGGTAAAATAGTTGACTGAATGTGTAATATTGTTTTGTGGTTTGTTTTGGGTTCGAAATGCATTTTTTACGCTCAAAAAACGGGAAATAATTACTTTTCAGATGTTGTTTTAATTAACTAAAACTATACAATATTAAAATAAAAACAATCATATAAAAATAAATTACAATCACGATAAAAAGAGTGAAAAAATGTTTGACTTTATTATTTTTTGGTATGACAAAAAAAAATTGTTTTTATATTTAATGTTTAAATTATCAATATAATACTATTATTATTAATTCTTAATACAATAAAGAAAAAAATGAAAATGGTTTTCGAACTGTTTTTTGTAAAGTTAAAAAACGATAAAAATGACAAAGAGAGTTACAAAAATATTCAAATCAAAATATCTTTTATTTATAAATTTTTCTTTGCCAACTTGATTTGGTACAATCAATTGGCTTATTAAAAAATTTCTTCATTTTTAAAGCCAAAAACGAAAAGTGATTCGTAATATTTGCTGGTTTTAATAAATTGTTTGAAAATAGCTTTGCCTTTGTGTTTGATTTACAAAACTTGTAGTTATTAACTTTAATAAAAGTCAATCAAAGTGAATAACAAATTCTAATTTCTGATTGATTTAAGAAATGTTTCAAATTACTCGAAGTTGTTATTTATTATAATTATAATATTATTATTATTTAATTATAATTTCTTATAATTATTTCAACCATTATAAACTCTTACAATAAATATAAATGACTTGACAAACACTGAGTAAAAATTACTAAAAATATCCAACAACGCATTTTTTGGCTTCGGTAAGAGTTGGTTGTGATTTTTGTGTGACTTCTAATCCCAAATTTGAAATTTTTCAAAACTTTATTTATTTTATTAATTATCTGATGTCATTTCCTTTTTCTAAATAACTTTGTTTTTAATTGTTATTTTTCTTTCTCCCCAATTCTTAACAAAAAAATACTCATATTCTTACTCAAATCCTAATATAAATAAATATTTAAAATTAAGTCAACATGAACGATACCACAAAAACAGAAACTTTTTTGGAAAGTAAAGTTCTATCCCAAAACGTTCACTCTTTTGATTTGAGTTAAAAACAATTCAAAATGAACTATACATGATAATAAATCAATTACAATTGTATCGTAAATATCATGTTCGCCAAAAATAGAATCCACATATAACCCTTTTCCAGACGGAAAAAAAATGTAGACTTCAATGTCACGTGTTCATCACTCCACTCGCAAGTCGAACTACTCGTCTAACCCTTCTCGTTTCAGTCTACTGAAGTATTCCGATCTTTTCAATTATTCCATTTACGAAGACGACGCTAGTAGCGACAGCGAGTCATCCACTACATCTAAAATGCGAATGGATCGACAATACGAGAAAAGTCCCTCCGAGCCCCTCCAATACAAAAAGGAGGTTTTGTCCCCAAGTTGCCTCACATCGTCGTGCACACCACGTTTGTCCAAAAATAACAAAAACAACGAAATTCCACGAATTGTTGAGCGCCTTGGATTTATTCGAAGAACAATTGGTATTAAAAGTGAGTCTGTACTGTACGACTCTGCGATTGATGAATTCTCCGGTAGAGCATTGTGTTCGAAGGTTATCGGGAAATCTGGCGTTCTTTTTGTGGCCATCTGTGATGGGCTGTGTGTGGGTTGCTACCACAACGACTTCATAAAGGATTTCCCCTTAAATGCTGTCTTTCCGTCAAAAAAATCTTTTGTTGTCATTTTGAAGGAGAATGTACACGTCACAAACACCGTCTTCAAACGAAAAACTAACTCCTCAAAGAACATTTCTCTCTTCAAAAATTCAGAGATGCTTTTCATGGCTCATGGTGCTTTTACAATATTTCAGGATGGTGAAATATGTTTCGATGATACTGACACATTCTCTAAATTTTCGGGATTTGAAGGAAATCTTCCCGAAGATATGAGTGAGAGGAACGGAAAGATCAACCGATTTCTGGTGGTGTTATATGAGTAAGAAATCTGTATATTAGGTTCTTATATTGTTCTGTTTTCCCGATTATTTGGGTAATGTGAGCATATGGGAGTTACTATCAAAAACAATTAATTTATAGATTGAGTATGGTTTATATTTTATTCTATTAATAATAATTAATAATAATAATAATTATTTAATTATTATTTAATAATAATAAACAAACTATTATGCTAAAATATTGTTGATTATAATATTATTATTTTATTTTTTTATTATTACAGTTTGTCATTTGTTATATAATTATAATTTATAATTTATAATTATTATATAGTTTGTCATTTTGTAATTGTGATTATGGAATAAAGGCATTTATAAGCGTGTTATTTAAAAGGCAAGATGAGATGAATGTATATTTTGTCCTAATCAATGTCTTGCTTTTCTTTTTAGGGACGGCAAACGTCTCGCTGTCGGTGGTCTTCAGCTTTTCGACGTATTTACTTTTCTCCGTCAAGTTGTTCCACTTTCCATTGTACTTTGGATTAATGTGCTTTACTTTAGAAATTGCACTTGACGTGTTTCACTTCACGCGTCGTTCGCTGGAGAATGTGCAAAACGGGTATAAAATCAAGATGGTATCTATTGGGCGTTGTTCTGTTATTGTCATGACATTTGGTGTCTCATTGATTTTGTTTTGTGTATTGATGGCAAGACTTTGGGAAGGGATTTACACCATTGTTGTGAGGTTACATGCCGTTTTTATTGTCTTACCTTTACTCGCAATAGGTTCAAATGTATTGTCCCATTTCATTTCGACGAAAATTAACATCTCACAGTTGGCGCCGCAGTTCAACAGCGTTTTCAAGAAAGAGATGTTCATTAAATATGTCATGAAAAACGACGAGCCAAATCCCGTTGAGGAAAAGTTTTGGATGACGCACAACTACAAGTGGAAAGACATGGTGAATGAGTGGGTGGAATGGGGTTCCAAGAAAAGCGAAGAAAACTTTGGGAAGAAGGGGAAAGCGCTGTATGACCATTTACTCCTTTTTGAAAAGTATGTCAAAATGAAGTACGAGAAAATTACCCCCGTCGATCAGATCATTCTTTCAGACTTGACACAAGAGAAGGTGGGTGATGGTTCTACGTTCATGAAACAGGAGAATGAGATTGACTTGACCGTGTTATTAAAAAGTGTCACAAAAAGGGGGTTTTACGAAAAGGAGAGTCTGAGTGCGATGAACGCTCTATTCAAACGCGACGAGATTAAAGTCTCAGATTGCGTCGACGCATTTTCCGAGATCAGCACAACAAAGGAATTGCTCAAAAGAAAAGTCTGTGATGAAGAGAATATTGCAGCAGTTATTTCGCGAATATCAAACATTTTTGCTGTTCTCATTTCGTTGGTTGTGTTATGTCTGGCCTTTGGTCTACCACTTGTTGACAACTTGATGCCCGTGTGCACGTTCTTCTTAGGTTTTTCGTTTATATTTGGGGATTATTTGAGGAGGATGTGGGAGAGTCTCGTGTTGGTATTGTTTTTGAGACCATTTGATATTGGAGACAGAATATCGGTTGGGTCAGACGATGTTGTTATCGTCGACGCGATAAATGTACTCAACACAATCACACACGAACCAAATGGAAAGCAAGTATTCATACCAAACGACTACATTTACAAAAACGTTGTCAAACAGCACAAACGAGCACCATTCTACACTGTCGAGCTGTACATAGACATCAACTTGGACACTGATCTCGGAAAAGTCGATAATGTAAAAAAGGCACTTGAAGAATTTGTAAAGATAAACACTGAATTTGAGTGGTCGCAATGCCCTTTCTTTGACTTGTACGACCTAAAACCAAACAATAAGGCGCAGGTCATTGTTTGGATTGAAATTTACGATATTTCATACAACGACCCCACTAAATTTATTGAGGCGAGAAAACTCATCATCATGGAAATCATGCGAGAAATGCTGAAGAACAATATCGAGTTTTCAATCAACGAACAACCACTTGACGTAAAAATCCGCCCGCCACTACCCGATTTAATACCTCAAACGCAAGTCAAAATATGACTTATATAAACATTTGCTCCCGACTTAAGATTTGTTTGTTTATTACAATTGTTATTGGTTTTCAATAAGTCCTGAAACTCTAACGAAACGTATTATGCTAGTTTTAAATTCCTTTGGTCAGTTGACTTTATTCTCTGCAAGACCCAACTTTCTTTGGTTGTTGAGCATGTTGATAACAAATATGAAAGCAACGACAAGCACAACAATTAGGACTTTCGTTCTTAATGATAGTTTTGTTTTTCTAATTGTCAGCAATAGTTCATTATAACCATTTAAAACCATTCGAAAGCAACAAACGCGTTGAGCACCAAATTTCCATCGAAATCCTTTTTGATTTGTGTCTTCTTTGTGTCGTCATCTTCAACGTCAATCTCCAAATTTGTGCTTTCCTCATCCATCGCAATTCCAACTTCATTGTCCTTCGCTATGTTCTTGCTCGACTCTTTTGTTTCAACGACTTCCTCAGCCTCTCCCGTTGTCAACGAGACTTTAGTAGTCTCATTTTTTTCTTCAGCTTCATTTTTTTCGACTTGTTCTTTATCCCCCATGTTTTCACTCTTAACCACTTTGGAACTTTCTGTGACGAGATTTTTTGCCTCTTTGAACTTCTCCACAAATTTGTTTTCAGTGAAAATTTCAAGTAACTTGACAAAGAGTGGATTTCCTATGTTATTGTCGTCAAAGACATCTTTCTTGCAAACAGGACACACAACTTTACTTGAAAAAACGAGGTCTTCAGTTGGTTCAGCGGCTTCTATGTCGTGTTTGAAGCAGTCGAAGTGGACTTTGTGAAGACATGGAAGTCTGGCAGTTCTGTCCCCCTCAAATATCTCTTCCTCGCAGATTTGACAGTTCGGATCTTTTTTTGCACTGCCCTCGACATATTCATTGTATTGGCAAATAGTGCAAGTTGGGTGGCTATTTGCCAAGCACTTCAAGCAAATATGTTTGTCGTGGTCGATGCAGTATATTGTCGTCTGTTCCTTGCATTGGTGGCAGATACCCATCTCTTTATTTTAGAGTTAAGACTTTTTTGTTATTCATTTCAAAGACATTTTACTATTTGATTATTATATATAAACTAATACTAATAAGTTGAAGTATAACAGATAGACAGACAGCTCACAGACAACTATTTCTATAGTAAAACGCAACTATAAGTATTAGTAAATAATGTTATAATAATACCAAAAAAAAGTGAGTGCTTTTCTATGAAAAGTGAAGAGAATTTGAGCTTTGAATATTGAAAAACGAACTGAGAAAGTCACAAGAAATGGACATCCCAAACCTCAAATTGATCAGCCAAGACGGCCACGAGTTTTTCATAAGTAGAGAGTGCGCACAACATAGCGGAACACTTAAAACAATGTTGGAAGACCAGCCGACGGAGGGAATCATCACTATACCTATTCCAGGTATCCCATCGAAACTACTTGAAAGAACTATAGACTACATGTACTACAGACAAATGTATTCAAGAGCACCTTCACAAGACGCAATACCAAATTTCGACGTGGATCCATCAAATGCACTTGAACTTCTTTTGGCAGGTTTGTTGGTATCTATTTATTTTCAAGATGTTGGTGGTGGCGTTAGAATGGGAGGACTTATTTTTATTAATTGATTGTAATGATAATGAAATGCATTATAAAATAACTTGCAGCACATTACCTCGACTTGTAAACATGGATACAACTAGTGAATTGACTATTTTTGTTTTTGATTTATTACTAATGTATCTTATTTATGTGCTCTTTCTTGTTACATATAGAATCAAAACACTGTAAATGTGTCTTGTTTAATAATTGTGTGCAGAAAGTTAATTAAAAAGTGGATTCTCTTTTCTATTGTTTTTGTGAATGAATTAATAAATCCAATTCATTTAAACAATTTAACATTTTTTACGTTTATTGAATGGTTATTTTAAAAACTAAGACTCTTTTATGTTCATATGGTTTTAAGTACTAATATATTTTACAAGAAGCATTTGTGGTCTAAGGGCAGAATTCCACCCTTCCAAGGTGGAGATCCGGGTTCGAGTCCCGGCAAATGCATTTTTGTAAAAATATTAATTAGTTGTAAAATTTTTACACTCCAAGATGTTAATATTCAATCACCACATTCAATTGAATTTGGATATTAATTCAATTCTTGCTGACAAAAAAATCAATTTCTTTAGAGTTGTTGATTCAGTAAATTTTAAAATTACAGATAGCGTAATTATTGGGTGTCAGATTTTTTACTTCAAAAAGTGTACATTTGTTCAAATAACAAAATTTAAACGAAAAAAAAACATAAAAAACCAAATATCAATGCAAGAAGAAACAGTCCCCACAATCCATTTTCAATTCAAAATATTCATTTCGTCGTTCCTTTAAAATTGATGGATATTATGTCACCTGTATTCATTCAACTACATCCAGAAATTACAAAACCGACAAAAGTGAAAAAGTTGATTATCGGAATTAATTGTTTTGAAGAAATGGTTAACAATGTGTTTTGTGCCAGATTCAATTATGAATATAATTCACCAAACAAAACAAACTATACATTGAAAGATATTGAAAACGCCGAAGAGATATTAAACTTTTTTGAGTATGATTCTTTGTTTTTCAAATATAAATCTAGAAGAGAACAAATTGGTTTATTGTACTCTTTATATGGAGATGTTCCAGAGGTTACATATAGAGCTGTTGGAGTATTGTTTGGAATTCACAACAATGTAGTTCAGAAAGAGAAATTACAATATACTAAAGACTTAAAATTGGGCAGAAGAAGTGTGGGAAGACCAAGTTTTTTTTGATGATAGGACAGAGTATATAACAAATTCATTTGTCAAGTATTGTTCAACACAAAAGCTTGCCCTCACAATGGCGTCTTTTGAAAAATTGGTAGAAATAATAACAGGAAGAAAAATTAACCGAGAAACAATAAGAAAATGGGTACTCAGAACCTTTAAACTAAAGTCAGTGACAGGAAAACCGGAAGATATTGGGAGACTGTCAATTAATCCTTCTGAAGTAGTAGATAACTATATCCAATTAGCTCAACTGAATGGGACAGATTCTCGAATTGTTTTTAATGTCGACGAAATAGGTTTTCAAGATTTTGCTGATCAAAAAACTGTAAAAGTTCTTGTATCGGAAAATGTTGAAATTGAAAATATCAAAATTGGTGTGGGAAGATCAAATAAAAGATCAACTGTTATTTGCATGATTTGTTTGGATAAATCATTGGTTTGCACAGGTGTCATCATCGCCAATAAATCAATCAACGTAGATTTAATCAAATCTTATTCAGATGTCTCATTCTTTTATAGCAGTACTGGGTTCGCAACCAAAGATATATTTGTCGAATGGATGTTTACAGTGGTTGTACCGTTCATCATTGCAAAACGTTTTCTTCTCAAGGTTCCCATGATATTGTTGCAGTTATTACGATGGATGGTTTTAGCGGTCATGACTTTGATACACTCAAAAAAGAACTGCAACAGTATCACATTGTACTCCATAAATATACTGCTCATTGTTCTCATCTTGTTCAACCACTAGACCTGGCATTGTTTGGAGTCTGGAAAAAAAAGCAACATAAGAACTCCTTTTTTCCGTACATCAGTGGAAAGTTCTTCTCTTTCAGTTGCATCAAAGAGAACGTCAGTCATAAACAACAGCGCTTTTACTGTTCCAATTGATGATTTAGAAGAACCCAATATCAATTTGAGAGGAGCTCTCGAAGAAATAGTAAAATGTATTGCAATGGAGAGCAACATTGCTAGAGATGCCACCAAAGGTAAACAAGAGAGAGTCGCTACTGGTGAGAGACTTAAATTATCAATTAATAAAATCATTAATGCAATGGACATCTCAGCCACACATGAAGTCATTGTGTCTTCTTTTAAAAGAGCAGGTATTATTTCTGTTTTTAAAGATAATGGCTTAAAAATGTACGTTGACATTAGATCAGCAAGTCGTTTAATAGAAGAGTACAAACTATTTTTTTGAAACTAATGTATTCCCAATGACAAACATTATGAGCGTTTTGGCGGCTCCAACAGATGATGTCAAGTTGGTTAACGTGTTAAATTTATCACAAGAACGAAGAAAGATAAATAATACTCTTCTTCTCGGACACATCCAGACCATGTCAAAATTGCTTGAAGATAATACAAGAACATTTTCTAATGTTAAGAGTTTGATAGAAAAAAATGTGTAGAATTGCACAAACCACTATAATTAATGAAAGATTTGATGTACAAGTTTTGACACCTTTGGAGAATTTTGAGCTTAGTGAAGAAGACTGGAGAGTTCTTGAAAATGTAGACAATGATTGTGAAAACTAGTTTCTTCATATAAGTCATTTCGTTTTTTTATTTAAGAGTTTTTCTAAATAATAAAATAAAAACAAAGGGATTTGGTTTTCTGACACCCAATTTCCTTGATTTAAAAATAAATAGGCGTATAAATCCCGAATTAATAAATAAATAATCAAAACAGTCAATTGATGATTTAAAAAAGTTTAAAAAATATTGTTTGATCATTTATTTAGAAACATATTGAATAAAACACTAAAACTTTTAAACGTGTAAATATGCAACTTCATGCTGACAACGAAAATGACCCCACCAATATAAATAAAATGTATAAGTTTAAACATAATATAATTTTGGCTTAAAATTTAAACAAATGTATAAATTAACTGTTTCAATTATTGTCGTCTAATTGTTTTGATATAGATTGTACAACAACTCAGCGTAATATAATTTGAATAAAAAGGGAAAAATATATCATATTTTTAATAGTGTTGTTATGAATAACATTTTTCCAAATAATTTTTTTCTTTACCATTTATTTTATTTCCATTATTTGAGTAAAGTCATTCTTTAAACCGTGCAACTTTGACGTGTCAGTGCAACTTTGTTTATAGTATAATTATAATAAAAAAATTATATGTTTTTTATAAAAAAACAAAAAAACACAAACAAATTTCTTTAAAACTATTACTCTAATTAATATACTATAACTAAACTATAACTAAAGTTGCACAATTTTTCTCAATTAGTTTTTTGAGTTGCACCATTCAACAGTCTCGTTTTCACTGTAATTTTGCAGCGAAAGAGGCTTTGAATCACACGAATTGGCTTGTCTCATTATTTTCTTTTTTATAAACGAGATGTTTATCATTTGCTCCATCCACAATCGGTGTACAACGCTGTTTTATTCGTTCTGTATGACAATTGGAATTCTGGAATTTTAATGTTTTTCATTAGAACAAGCAGTTGAACTTATCATTTAAATATCGAGTTATATTTTATGTTGATTTATAACCTAATTCCATTTTTGTTATTGTTTTTGTTATTGTTGAAAAATAGAGTTTCACCTTTGTTGTGAGTAAAAAACAAAAAAAAATAAAGTTGCACACTTGTTTGGAATGACTTTATTATGAATATAGTTAATTATGGTTTATTATTATAATAGATTTTATAAAAAAAATATATAGTTGTTAAACTATGAATATACTAAATATAATTTTTGAATAAGTATAGTTTGTTTTATAGTAAAACGACGAATATTTAATTATGAATAGTTAAAGTGAGTTAATCGTTGATATTAATTAATTATGTGAAATTAAGTTTATATTATTTAGTAAATTAATATTCAATAATATTATATTATAATAAATTATTATATATTATTATAAAATTATTAACTATTTGTATTACTATATGTAAAAATAATAAAATAATAGCATAAAACTCTCATTTATTTAATTCTTTAACACTTAATTGGCAAAAAAGACATATTTTTGTCCACCTTTTTGATTTTTTCTTATAGAAGTTTAAATGATCTTTTAATTTACAACATAAACTATATTTACTATAATTGAACTATAAAAAATAATATTAAGGTATTAAATAATTTTATAATATTTTTAATAGTCGTAATAAAAAACCTTCAATTATAAAAAAAAAACATTTTCATAATAAATGTAAAAGACAAAGTCCACGACAACATGAATGAACTCTCTGACGCTGCTAAAGCCATTTTACGGCTTAATGACACGTTCGATGACATGTCGAATGGTATTTATTTGCAGACAGTTTTGGGTAAAAAAGAAAAATAATTTGTGGTTGAAGCGAAACAAAGAATATTTAACAGTCTGAGTCGTGATTTTAAAACAACAGTAAAGAAAGCCTTAGTTTAATGTGGCTTTACGGACTCAACAGGTTTCACAATTTGAAATAATGACGATTTGTGGGAATAATAACTTAAAGGGGAGAATGCAACAAATGCAGCAAATTTCAGGATTATTTGAACGTGTAAAATCGGGCGGACAAAAAGGTGTCCGTTTCGACTTCAACCGCCATTCAATTTTTTAAGCTAAGACTAGTTTAATTTTATAGGTTTTTTACTATTTTATTTAAATTTTTATAAAACATTATATTTTCGAATACTTTTGTTATTCTTGAACATCATTTCCCAAAAACGCATTTTGTATACTTTTTAAGGTTAACATAACTTGAACTTCCTCTGGCATCTCAAGAGTCTTTGATACTTCCCACAAGGAGTCTGGATCATTTCTTCTGAAATGTCCAAAATTCTTGTTGACAATGTCTACTATTTTTTCATCAGGAATAACACCAGTCTTGTATGTGTCAACATAGACACTCAATGGATGTGAAAGAC